TTTGAATGATGACTATTTTCCCCACTGTTAACAATGTGAGCTTATCATGAATATGTTTAATTAATACTGAGTTATTCAAATAAAGGTTCTGGTGTCTACATTTTATATTTTGTTGTGATGTTTTGTTGTACCATCATAAATGGTACATTTTGTGGAGCAGACTGCCTAATTTGATGTCATGAAATTACACACAAAATTAGAGCTCAGGTTGCACCAGCAAGCACCATTTTCAGCATGCTGTTCTTGTTTTCGGCGGACGACAGAGGGGACACCTCCCTCTCCTTCCCCGTTGTGCTCGGTCGCGGGAAAATGCTCCGCAGTTTCCAGACAAAGTTTACTTATACTTTTTTTTCTTGATTAGTAAATTTACTATTACCTAGCAAATTCCAGAGAGAGCCCAGGACAGATATATTTAGCTTTTTGCGTCATGTGATAGTGTGACGCAAAGCCATGTAACATTGTTCCCTCTTGCACAGTCTGATTGGTAAATCTGATTGATATTATGACATTTTATGGGACAACCAATCAGACATAGCTCCTTCAGTGAGCAGACAATTTTATTTTTGTCATCATTGTTTGAAACGTAATCATCAAAGTGAATTTTTTCGTTCCAGATATTCGCAAAATGGCAGTTAGCGATTTTTCGGTTTCTAATTTTTACAACTTTCGTCTACACACATTAGCAACTACTACTTGACAATTTATTGTTGATACGAGATAGAACATACCCCAAAATTTTGCAAAAATTGTGTATTAATCACAGGTGAACTAGCTGCCAAGTACAACCAAAAAATGTCATTCGTGTATGCTAATGAGATAGAGTGTGAGATAGAAGGTGTTCACACACACGCATAAAATAATGATTGATGAAATAGGTTCAAATGCATACATGCAAGAAATTGTCATTATTTCCATGTTTTTTACCAAAAGCATTGAACATATGAAAATTACTACACTTGCTTAATATCATGGGTCATGTACATGTATATATTTAAAAGTTAAAATAAACGTTAATGTGACTTAATTTGTTTTATATTCAGGTTACCATATTCTGTTAATGCTATATCTTGCATCACAGTGCTCAAGTATACCCTTAGGACCAGCTCGATTAAGTGATATAGAACATAAACGAGGGCAGGCATATACTGGTGAGTCATGTTTGGATATCTTCTTGATACACATGTAAATTGGGTTGGTATTACTTTCTTGTAGACCCTGACCTATATATGGACCATACCAGAAGTGAAATCATTTTACCATTATAGTTATTTTATCTATCAGAATTGCACCTAATAGTAGCGCAAATAAACTAAGAATTCAATAAATTTGCACATAGATAGAATCATTGATATGCGACTTGTTTTAACCATGGAACGCAGTCAGCTGGCGCACACGTGATAATAACATAAATACGATATTTACATCTTCTTACCTGGGTCTCCATGTCGTTGTCTGGGCTACGCCCGTCCTATCTGGGTCCCCCCTA